TCCGGCGATGGGTCCAGGATAGGAGGGGGCGCGGGCAGGTGGCCTCCGCACCCTCTTCTCCTTTGGCTCAGGAGATCTCGACAGCTCTCGGGGGCTTCTCGACAGCCCCAGTTCGGCTAAGCTCTGTTACGGATCGGGCAGGAGGCCCCACCCCGAACGGGGCAACGCACGAGGAGATCATTGCTTTTGGAGGGATCCCGGATCCTGTTTCGGAAGGACAGCGGATGAGCAGTCGCCTTCAGGATCAGCCGGATGTTGATGACATCCATCTCAGGTGCGCCATGCGGGCGGCCAAGCTTCGTGACATCGAGGTCACCACGGGGATGTCGGTCAACACGTCAAATTTGATTATATATTTTTCCAATGATGAGATTGTTCACAATGCAAATCAATTAGGGGTTTCACTAGGGAGTAATGGTAGTGAAATCACTAAATCAGTTAATGATATTCTCAATCTCGAAGCGGAGTGCGCTTTGGAAATGATACGTAACATAGCAGATGTTAAACCCATGAATGATTCCGACATAGAAGCATTGGGGGTCAGGGCCCTTGATATTTTTTGTGCAGATCTTGCCCCTTCACTTCCTGAGACAGAGGAGGATGAGGGATTCGGTTCCCCTAGGGCCTCGATCCATGTAGATGTTCCGGAGGTTAAAGCCTCAGAGCCCAGTTGTGAGGACCAGCGGGAGGATCAAATAAGCCTAAGCAGAAGTGGAAATGGAAGGTTTATCCAGTTTCGGCTGTGCGTAGGAGTGCTAGGATCCGTACCTCTAAAAAAATTCATGATGAAATATGAGAGGAATTTTTTGGAATAGCAGAGGTCTTAAAGACTTGGCTAAAAGAAGGTTCCTAGCGGAAGCATCTAATGAACACCAGTCGGATTTTATTGCCCTGTCCGAAACTGGAAGGGACAATTTCACGCCCCCCCCCCAATTCCTTAGCACTTTATCGGGGGGTGTCGACTTCGACTGGCACTGCCTACCTCCTAGAGGAAGGTCTGGTGGGGTCCTACTCGGGGTTAAGTGTGACTCGTTGGAAGTGCGGAGTGTGGTTATGGGAGATTTTGTGGTAAAGTTTCGGGTCAGATCAAAGGCCAATGGGTTTAATTGGGCATTGGTGGCGGTATATGGTGCCACGCAGCCAGAACTCAAACCAGATTTTTTGGCCGATCTTGTCCGTATTTGCGGTAGCGAGCAGCTCCCAATCCTCATTGGGGGCAATTTCAACATTATCTGCAGAAGGGAGGAAAAGAATAATGATAATTTTGACGGCAGATGGTCGTTCATGTTCAATACCATAATCGAAAGCTTGGATCTTAGAGAGATAGAGCTTTCTGGTAGGAAATTCACTTGGGCTAACTCATTACCAAACCCGACTTTTGAGAAGCTGGATCGTGCCCTCGCTAGCATCGAATGGGAACAGAACTTCCCCCTCATAACAGTCCAGGCGTTATCGTGCGCAATCTCGGATCACACCCCATTGCTTGTTGACTCTAGCGATCCCACCCATGTGGGAAATAAAAACACCTTTTCTTTCGAGTTATCGCGGTTTGATAGAGAAGGGTTCCTCGATCCGATAGCTAGAGAATGGGCTAAAGATCAAGGAGGAAGTTCTCCTGTTGAAAGATGGCAGAATAAGATTAGGCATCTGCGAAGATTCCCTCGTGGATGGGCTAAACATACGCATGGGATTTATAAGGTTGAGAAGGAAAGGCTCCTTCTACTTATTCAATCTCTAGACTTAAAATCCGAGTCCACTATTTTAGATACTAGAGAGCTGGAAACTAAGGTGGAGGCGGAGTTGCGACTGAAAGAACTTCTTCGAGAGGAGGAAATGAAGTGGGCATTACGAGCTATGGTTCGCAAAATCGTCCAAGGGGATGATAACACTCAATTCTTTCATATGATTGCAAATGGCAAGCACCGCGAGAAGAGGATATTTCAGCTCGAGCAGGACGAGGGGATGATTTTAGGACAAGAAAATCTTAAAATTTATATAACCAATTACTATAAGCAACTGTTTGGGCCTCTGGAGGATAACTTCGTATCCTTAGATGAGTCCAGGGTTGAGGATGTCCCTCAACTTGCGTCAGACGAGAATGAGATTTTGACCGCCCCATTTACGGAGAAAGAGGTGTTTGAGGCCATTTCACAAATGAAGAGCAAGAAGGCTCCAGGGCCGGATGGTTTTCCAGCAGAGTTTTATAAAAAATGTTGGAATATTATCAAAGGGGATTTGCTTCCGATGTTCCATGATCTATTCTCTGGACAGCTTCAGTTGTTTCAACTTAATTTTGGAACGATAACTCTACTTCCTAAGAAAACAGAGGTCGTTCGTATTGAGCAGTTCAGGCCTATCTGTCTTCTTAATGTAAGTTTCAAAATTTTCACCAAGGTCGGGACTAATAGGCTCACGCAAATTACGCACTATGTGGTGCAACCGTCCCAAACCGCTTTCATGCCAGACAGAAACATCCTAGAAAGGGTTGTCGTCCTGCATGAAATGCTCCATGAAATCCACACGAAAAAGCTGGACGGAGTTGTTTTCAAAGTGGACTTTGAGAAAGCGTACGATAAGGTCAAATGGCCCTTCCTTCAATAGGCATTGCGTATGAAAGGTTTTGATCGGGCCTGGAGACACCAGGTTGACTCTTTCACGCAAAAAAGGAGTGTTGTGATTAAAATTAATGATGACATAGGTCACTATTTCCAAACACACAAAGGGCTGAGGCAAGGAGATCCGATGTCACCTATTCTGTTCAACATAGTGGTCGATATGTTGACAATTCTGATAGGAAGGGCTAAGGACGCGGGTCGGGTAGGTGGCCTCGTCCCGCACTTAGTTGACGGAGGTATATCCATTCTACAGTACGCTGATGACACTATCATCTTCATGGAGCACGACCTGGCAAAAGCGCGAAACATGAAGCTCGTGTTATGCTTATTCGAACAATTGTCCGGGTTAAAGATTAACTTCCACAAGAGCGAATTGTTCTGCTTCGGAAGATCTAATGATGACCAAGATGCGTACAAACAATTGTTCGGGTGTGAATTGGGGGCTTTACCTTTCACGTATTTAGGTATACCAATTCACCATCGTAAGCTGACCAACAGAGAATGGAAGTGCATTCAGGACCAATTTGAGAAGAAATTGAGCTGCTGGAAAGGTAAGCTCATGTCATACGTAGGACGATTAATTCTCATTAATTCAGTCCTCACGAGTATGTCCATGTTTCTTCTCTCCTTTTTCGAGGTACCGGTTGGAGTCCGGAAGAGGCTAGACTTCTATCGATCACGCTTCTTCTGGCAGAGTGGTGAACTTAAGCAAAAGTACAGACTTGCTAAATGGGATATCATTTGTAGGCCGAAAGACCAAGGGGGTCTAAGTATTGAGAATCTGGAAGTGAAGAACAGATGTCTCCTTAGCAAGAGGCTGTTTAAGCTTTCTGTCGAGACGGAGGCCACATGGGCTCAGATCTTGCGTAACAAGTACCTTCACTCTAGAACCTTGTCCCAGGTGACAGTGAGGCCGACTGATTCGCCTTTTTGGAAAGGATTGATGAGAGTTAGACCACTATTTTTCAATAGGACAAGATTCATAGTTGGCAACAGTACCGCTACAAGTTTCTGGGAGGATACATGGCTAGGGGAGACGCCCCTCGCACTCCAATATCCTTCTTTATATAACATTGTTCGGCGTAGAGACGCTTACGTTGCAACAGTGCTGCAGTCCACTCCGCTCAATATTCAATTTCGGAGGACGCTAGTGGGAAACCGTTGGGAAGCCTGGCTCAATCTTGTGAGAAGGTTGATGGATATTCAGCTGTCTCAACAGCTCGATCAGTTATGCTGGAAACTAACTAAGAATGGAGAGTTCTCGGTTAAATCCATGTATTTGGATGTTATTAACTCTAGTGTGATTCCTAGATCGAAACATGTTTGGAAAGTTAAAGTACCTTTGAAAATCAAAGTGTTTATGTGGTTTGTGCATAAATAAGTTAATTTAACTAAGGATAATTTGGCAAAACGCAATTGGACAGGATCTACAAGATGTAGCTTCTGCGACCAACATGAATCAATCAAACACCTCTTTCTTGATTGTCCTCTGGCAAAAATTATGTGGCGGTCGGTTCACATAGCTTTTAACATTACTCCTCCGAATTCTATCAACACGTTATTTGGGACGTGACTTGATGGGATAGATTCCGATACAACGAGACATATTCGTGTAGGAGTATGTGCTTTATTATGGGCAGTTTGGAACTGCAAAAATGATTTGGTCTTTAACAGAACATCAAATATTCATTTTTTGCAGGTTATCTTCAGAGCAACTGCGTTGATCCGTATGTGATCGCTACTCACTCCGACGAAGGCCAGGAAGCGTTTGGTTACTGAGTCTACCCAATGAGAGATGGTAGCATAGGATATTTTTAACCGGTTTGAATAATGGTCATATAATAGGATAGGCAGAGATGGTAGCATAGGATATTTTTAACCGGTTTGAATAATGGTCATATAATAGGATAGGCATTTAGTGTCCCTACCTTTTTGTGCCAGCCTGTTGTGGCTTTTCTACTATTGTTTAGCTCTTCGTGAGCCTTTTTTTCTTCTTTGTTCGAGACTTATGTTAAACCTTTAGCTTTTTAATAATATTGACCGTATGCATCGTTTTGATGCAGAGGCTGGGGCGAACCCCCTTTTCGAAGAAAAAAAATCTAACTCCACGACATAACAAGTGTATCTCGTAACAGTTATGACCTGAAAAGCACATTTCTGTAAGTAAGAGTTACCAGTATCATCAATTGTTCTCCAGAAACAGACAAAGAAGGGAAAGAGGAGATTATGTCATACAAGAGCATGCTTTCTGATTAATGATAGAAATACAAAGAACGGCTAGCTACCCTACCAATGATTCATATGCATAGATAGTACATTAGCTATCTGTACAATGCTGAGTTGCAGTTGGTGTATGATTTAATAGGAGGGCCCTAGTTTTCCTCCTCAAATGAAATCCATGGAATCGTCTAGGGACAGACCACTCAGCGACTGGCCACCATTCGATGGGCTCTGATGATGGTTTGGATGGTGACGCTGAGCTTGGTGCCCACCTATGTAAGCCATCTGTTGCTGTTGCTGCTGCTGCCGCTGCCGCTGATGTTGCTGAGAGAAATAGGATGGAATCTGCTGGAATCCGCCGTTGAATTGACTCCCATTCATGTTTGGAGCTTGCCCTGCAGCTATCTTAAGTCGCTGGACTTCTTCTCGCAGGGCGTCGTTTAGAGCTGCATTTGGTATGGAATGGAGCATTTTATTATGTTCATCCTTGAGCTAGAAAAACACAAATACTGAATTTTGCTTTACTAACTGACCAGCCAACATGTCAACAGATTCAGAGACCAGTAGCAGGCAAACTTCAGAGAATTTAAATAATGGCTACCGGAAGAACTGAAGAAGTTCTAGCGGAAGATCAGAACATACCATCCCGTAGTTTAGCTTGCTCCTCCATGGACTGCAACCGAAGTTTGAGTTCTCTATTCTCAGTAGTTAAACCAGAAGTATCCCTCTGTGTTTCAAGTAATAGCAATAGATTATATACGAGAATAAGCTATATATGAAAAAAGGTTACATCACCGATATTAAAGATCATATCCACACGAAAAAGCAAGAGGATTAAAACTCTACTAGCAATTACCAACGAATATTCTCAGCGGCATACAGAAAGGGGGGTTTGTGCTAGCATGGTCCAAAAAAATTCAACATCCATGCAAAACTGCAAACTCTACATACAGGGAAACTTGTCTAAATTTATTAACACTGACTCAGCAAGCATATACTATAATCATCTTTACTTCCGAGGTAATAGTTAACAGAGGTCTTATCAATAAAGGTAGATGCTTGTGCAAAGCCCCAAAGGCACGTGAATAGTATGTAACCAGAAACATAAGGGTTGTGTTTGGTTTGTACCCAAAGGAACACCGCCAAATGTTTGGTAGTGCTCAAAACTTTGGCCTTTGTTTGATGGTTGCTATTTTTTGGCATGTCCGTGGCCCTTTGTTCAATGGAGAGAATGAGAGCTCTACCATTGAGCTGGATGACTCCTTTGATGATACGCTCAGGTGTTTTGTGCGACGAATCCAGGAGTCTAAGGTCAAGAACGCTTTAAAAAGGATGAAAGGAGGCAAGGCGACGAGCCCTGGTTGTATCCCCATTGAGGTGTGGAGAGGCCTCGGAAACATAGTGATAGCGATAGTGTGGCTAACTAAATTTTTCAACCTCATTTTTCGGGCGAACAAGATGCCAGAAGAATGGAGGCGGAGTATATTAGTACCAATCTTCAAGAACAAGGGGGGTGTTCAAAGTTGTACTAATTACTGTGGAATGTCATGTGGTGGGCCTTGGAGAAACACAAGTCCCAACAAAGTACATTACCCTCATCAAGGACATGTACGATAATGTTGTGACAAGTGATGACGAGACTGATGACTTTCCGATTAAAATGAACTGTACCAAGGGTCAGCTTTGAGCCCTTATCTTTTTGCTTTGGTGATGCATGAGGTCACAAGGGATATACAAGGAGATATCCCATGGTGCTCTTTGCAGATAATGTGGTGCTAGTAAATGATAGTCGTACGGGGGTTAATAGAAAGTTAGAGCTTTGGAGACAAAATTTGAAATCGAAAGGTTATAGGCTTAGTAGAACTAAAACTAAGTACATGAGGCGTCGTTCTGGTACTGCTAGGCACAAGGAGAAAGGAGGCTAGCCTTGATGGGCAGGTGGTACTTCAGAAGGACACCTTTCGATATTTGGGATCAATGTTGAAGAAGGATGGTGATATCGATGAAGATGTGACCCATCAAATCAAAGCCGAATGGATAAAGTGGAGCTTCTGGCGTTCTCTGTGACAAGAGAGTGCCACAAAAGCTAAAAGGTACTCCCTCCGTCCCATAATGTAAGACATTTTTGCAAACTATGTTAGCTTACCAAAACGTCTTATATTATGGGGCGGAGGGAGTAGGTTCTATAGGATTGCGATTCTACCAGCAATGTTGTATGGCGCTGAGTGTTGGCCGAGTAAAAAACAACATGTTCAACAGTGGTGTAGCGGAAATGTGCATGTTGAGATGGATGTGTGGCCACGCAAAAAAGGATCCGATCCGGAATGAGGTCTCTCTCTCTCTCAGACACATCGCTAGACCTATTTGTCGTAACTTTTCATGCTTTACTACTTACTCTAATTACCATAATGCTTGTCCATTTCATCGACAAAACTTTGGCTCTTCTCTGTTTAAAATGAACAATGTATACACGCAGCATGGACTAATGTGAAGGGCAATCCAGTTCATATATGTGTTCTGTCCTACTGACTTATATACCTACAGTAAACTGTTCTCAATGTAATATATCACAATTCTAGCAAAATGTAAATGCTGATGATAAAGCTAGTCCATGACAAAAATTTAATACGAAATGTAAATTCTTCGCACTGTCACACAGTTCAAAAGCTGAACAGTACTATGTGTGTCATTTCCACACTACTCCCAAAACAAAACACAGTTACATATCAACATAAATTAGTTCGTTTCAAGCCTCAAGCTATCAACAACTTCAGTTGCAGATGACCCAACTAAGCATCTTCAAATTCAATGTAAAGGATTGAATGCAACAACATGCTATAAAGTATATACAGCAAACATACAATCAGCTATCTACTTCAACACAGAACAGAACAAATTATGAGTCAAACTTTGGTTTTCGTATAGGTTACTCTATTAGGGTCATGCTACATGTCAAACATCACAATTGACCAATGAACATAGTGGATTACATAAAAGAAAACTCATCTCACACCCCTTAATAAAATAATCCCATACCTGGAGAAGTGTAAGCTGTGCTGATAGCGTAGTGGCCTCGGTCTGCAGTGTCTGGACCTTCCTCTCTAGCTCACCGGTATACTTGATCTTCCTCTCCTTTGACCTCGCCGCCGACTGCCGGTTTGCCAAAATCCTACACAGACATACAATTATCCTAAATTAGTACCCAAACACAACTAGGAGACAAACCCTAAACCTTGCAACTACCATCCAGATATCTGAGATCTCAAAACTGACAAAAATTCGTACAACCCAAACACAACTAGGAGACAAACCCTAGACCTTGCAACTATCATCCAGATATCCAGGATCTCAGAACTGATAGCACACTTTCAGTAGCAGAAATTACTACAAACATTAACATACATGGTTCCATTAACAAAAATATACTCCCTCAGTTCCTAAATACTCCATCAATCTAAGTCTTTGTAGAGATTCCACTATAAACTACATACGGATGTATATAGATGCATTTTAGAGTGTACATTCACTCATTTTGCTCTGTATGTAGTCTATAGTGAAATCTCTACAAAGACTTATAGTATTTAGGAACAGAGGGAGTATAATCTTAACGATCTGACGTCAGCTCAGAGGTTTCTTTTTTTAATGAACGCGCTGTGACACGTTCAATTCCTGTGTACGAATCTCAAAGCAAGACACGTGGCAATCACTTTTCGCTCCCACGCACCCCTCTGAGCGAACTACAGCCTGACGGCACTAAACGGTTCGCTCAGGATGGCAAATTCTTTTTTTTAGAGCATGGGAATTTTCACCATTTCCGTTTGATGTAGCATGGCAATATTCGTCTGCCAGCATGGCAAATCTTGAACTAAGTTGGGAATTTTCGTTGCATAATGGCAAATCCCTAAAACCGCATGGCAATTACTCTGCTGCAGCATGGCAAATTAATCTTTCTGTTAGCATTGCAATTTTTTTCTTTACAACATGGCAAATCTTTATACAATAGCATGGCAAATATATATGTTTTACCGGCAATCCTCTTTCGCTGGGAGTGATTTTTTTTAGGAAACACATTCAGGTTGCAGCATTCGTTCGGATGACCTAACGATAGTTCACTAGGGGGACCTCCTCAATGAGGGACCGTCAGCAGGTCAAAAACATATATACATGGTTCACATGACAACTTACTACATCAGTAGATGAGATGACACCACCTTCCGGATCGAGAAAGAACAGCTGAAGATTTATTTCCTCACCTCTTTGCGCGTTTGGGGTCAAGGAGAGCTAGCTCGGCGATCCTCTCGGCCGGCATGGCTTTCTTGGCATAGTCCAGCCCGCCCGACAGCGCCGACTCGCCTTCGAACGGCGAGTTCACCCCATCCATGGACCCGCTCCTCTTATGGCCACCACCACCCCCGCCTCCTCCCCCCTGCAAGGCGAGGCCCTCGAAGAAGGCGGCGTCAAGGGAGAGGCTCCTGTTGTGGGTCCCGCCCGGTGGACGGGGAGCCGGTGTCTGGGACGAGCTGGCCGCCATCGGCGGGGGAGGAGGCGGGGTCGGGTCGGAGACCGCCGGGGAGTCGTCGGAGAGGGATGGGAAGTCGAGGTCGGAGAAGGAGAAGTCTCCATCGGGGTCGAGGAAGAGGTCGATGTCGGGGAAGCGCAGAAACGTCTCCGAATGGGCCCGCCGGTGGTGCCCTCGCACACCAGTGCCGCCGGGGGACGGCACCGGAGTTGGCAGCTGGAAGCGTGGGTCCATGGCGGCCAACGGGAGGTCTACGCCGGCGGCGGCGGCAGCACGTGGAGTAGAGCTGGGAGGCGTTGCGCTGTGTGTGTGTATGTTTGAGCTCGGGGGATCGAGTTGGTGGGATACGTGTGAGGAGAAAATGGGGGCAGGCTGCGTGGGTGGTGCCGCGCTCCCCCGCGTGGTCCCGGTGCACCGAGTTCGCGCAGCCTGAACAAATCGCGAGGCTCGATGGACGGTCAAAGTGGTGTGTGGCTGGTGAGGAGAGTCCAGGGAGCTGTAGAGAATCTCCGTCGGGAGCACAAGTGTGGACGCGAGGTGGAAGAGGGTGTCTTGGTGGACCTGGCGTACGGGTGCGGCCACCGGGAAGTACAAATCGCTAGGAGCATCGGACGTTCCTGTCAGAGGTAATATCACAGCTGGTGTTTAAACTCGCCACCGATGTTCACTTTAGTGTTTAAAATTGAAAAATACATTAAACTGGTTTTAAAACTTGGCACGAGCGTGCAAATACGGTGTTAATCCTATTAGTAGACGTTTTTATGCTGACATGGCACCGTAGTTCGCTTAGCATGCACAGACAACCTCGCCCTAGCAAACTGGAACTATTGCCAGTATGCCATACGTTTTCTCGTGCCTGTTAATGAAAACCGATCCTTTTTCTTAAAATAATGAAAACATTTCTTTTTTTAGATAAAGAGACACGTACGTGGGTTTTAATCGGCTCAGCAGTGCAGCCCAGTTTGCGCATGTTAGTTTCATTTAGAATTTTGTAAAAAAGTTTGTAAATTATAATCACAGTAATAAAAATATTCACGTATTTGTTTTAAATGTATCCTATAAATAAAATGGTAGTTTTGATTATAAAAATGGCTTTAAAATTTAGAATTATATAAATATTTTCTGTACTACAATTCATAAATATTATTTTAACTACATAAACCTTTTAATAGTTACATGTACATTTTCACGATTCATATTGTTTAACAAATTTTCAATAATGTAAAATGTTCACAAATATGCAAAATTTAAAATTTTAGTTTATAAAAAATATTCACTCCAGACTATAGTTTAATTATAAAAAAATATGAATATATGACACGATGAAAGTTATACACATGTTTCTCGCAAAAAAAGAAAGTTATACACATGTGAATATTAATAAAAAATGTTTCTACTTATCATTTTTTCCTTTTAAGCATAATCCAAGCATGCATAATCTTTTAGAATTTACTCAAAAAATTAAGTTTTTTATAATTATTTTTCATATACTAAACAATTTAGAAAATTTATTTACTAAAAGCTTTAACTATAAATCACATGTAAATAGCTGACTATTTTTTAATTACATGAACATTTTAGTTATTTAATTTATATGTATTTATAAAAAATTTGAAGCACAAATATTTGAAATGTATTTTTATTACTGTGATTATAATTAACAATTTTTTTTACAAATTTCTAAATCAAACTAACATGCGCAAACTGGGCTGCACTGCAGCAGGCCATTAAAACCCACTAACGTGTTTCTTTATCTAACAAAATAGGAAATGTTTTCATTATTCTAAAAAAAGGATCTGTTTTCATTAACATGCACGAGAAAACGTATGGGCGAGTAGTTCCAGTTTGCTAGGGCGAGGTTGTCTGTGCATGCTAAGCGAACTACGGTGCCATGTCAGTATAAAAACGTCTACTAATAGGATTAGCACCGTATTTGCACGCTCGTGCCAAGTTTTAAAACCAATTTGGTGTATTTTTCAACTTCAGGCACTAAAGTGAACATCGGTGGCAAGTTTAAGCACCACCTGTGATATTACCTCTTCCTCTTATGCCGCCGTCCGTGGACTCGGTGCAGCCAGAGTCAAGTACCAAGGGCACGGATGTAACTTTGTGCAGGTGGAAGGAATGCCGCGTTGGTCCTATGAGCGAGCGGCGTGCGGCAGCTGGTGCGGACCTGGCAATACTCTCTGCCGGTGAACTTCTCCCCCCGATGGAGCGTGGGTGTGAGGCCAACTCCCGACCCCATTTCCTTCGTCCGGTCGTGTCCCTTTGGACCCAACGCGTGCCCGCAAATAGACGGACGTCCGTTTCCTATCCATCAGCGACCCATTTTTGGCTTAAAATTGATCCGTGTCTGTGTCAAAACAGGGAGGACGCGGATGGGCGGGATGCAGGACCTTGTCTTCCCATGGCCCGCCTATCAGAGACACAACGTTCTCATTTTCCTCTTCTTTCCCAAAAACCATCCCGCCCATTCCAGCTCCATGGTCAGCACCCCGCAGCAACCCGTCGTCATCGTCCCAGCCGCCACTTCTGCCTGTCCTGCCACAAAGAAGAAGAAGCCGAAGGCGGAGATCTCGCCGGCGGAGCTCGACCGACTCAACCAAGAATCGGCCAAGAGGAGAGCCCGGAGGGCCGCTATGGTGGAGGGGAAAGTTGTCACCCAGTACGCCCTCGAGGCCGCCGTTGCGCAACACATGGCCACTGTTCAGGCCAACGAGGCCCTCGTCACTAAGACCAAGCAAGCAGCGATGACGCATGCCCTCCTCGTGCTAGGGTTTAGCCGACCCGTGTCGGCCATTCCTTCGACCTCCGCAATGGCCGAGGCGAGCACATGCTCGTCGGCTATTCACCCTCCACAACACCGCAAACGGGCGTCGTCCCGGCGCACAAGCATGGTGCGACCTGCTTCTCCACGTCGCCGGACGGCAGCCTGATCGCGCCGGCCACCCCCGCGGCCCCGCCCCCGCGATCGCCATCAACCTCAACATCACGTGTGGGTCGGGTATTGTCGACTAGTCGGACACCGGGATGCAAAGCAAGCAACCGCGGGCGATTCCTATGACCAACCTTCCAGACACCCGCAACCTATTTGACGGAATGCTCTACCCAACGCCGGCGCAAGACGACCCCGACTTCAACGCTTTCATGGAGAACGTCATCTATGAGGGTTGTGGCCAAGCCTTCCACCCCGAGGGTCAAGGCCAAGGCTTCGATCCCGACAAGACCCAAAGCCAAGACGGGTGCAGCCAACATGAAGAGCCCGTCGGGCCCGTGGGACTGGGGGCACCCAGGCCTGTCTGCCCGCGGCCCAGTGCGCAACGCCCTCCAGGAGGCTCAAGGCTGGCCCAATGGTAGAGATTCACAAGCAAGACCCTCGCGAGGCGTACGTCAGCAAGTGTCTCCAGGAGTCTCACGAGGCTGCTTCCCGAGGCCCCTCGTGGAGGCGTGTGAGTCAAGGAGCTGCTCAGTGGAGTCACGAGGCCCTGCGTCGTCACGTGGGTGATGCATGTAGCGACGAGCGAAGCCAGAGGAGCGCCAGCAGGCGGGCACAGGGAGATTTTCCTCTTTGGTGCTAAGGAAGCAAGGGCAGCATGCAATTCCCAAAGCAATCTCCAAAGGTTACCCGTTTGGTGCAAGAAGGCCATGATGACGGGCTCACCAAGACGGAGGTCATCACCGAGCCCACCGACGCGTCACGGCACAAGGCCTTTGCAGGCGAAGACCACCTTTAGTCAGGATTTTGTACTCTTGTCCCCCTTCAGACTGGCCGTTGTGGCAACCCTTCCAGCCAAGTGTTTTCGGGGGAAGAGAACCAAGGCTAGTATAAGTAGGGGTAGGGTGCCACCGTAGAAAGGGATCCCTCCAGAAGACTGCTCATTTCCCCCCTTGTACTCTTATACTTATCCTCCCTCACGAGGCAATCCAACCACAAGCAGGGGTAGGGTCTTACACCGCAAGATGGCCCAAACCTGGGTAAACTGGTGTGTCCACTCATGTCGCTTGAAGCTACGTCGGTATTTCCCCAAAGAGGAAGGGATGATGCAGCACAGCGGCGATAGGTATTTCCCTCATATATGAAACTAAGGTTGTCGAACCAGTAGGAGAACCAAGCAACACAATGTAAACAGCCCCAGCACACAAATAACAAATACTCCCAACCCGACGTGTAAAGGGGGTTGTCAATCCCTTTCGGGTAACGGCGCCAGAAATTGGCACGTGGACGGGAGAAAGTTGTAAATATTGATAGATCAAACGCCAAATAAAATAAAGTGCAGCAATATATTTTTGTATTTCTAGTTTAATAGATCTGGAAATAAAAGCAAAGGAAAAGTAGATCGCCAAGGCAAATAATATGAGAAAGAGACCCAAGGGCCGTAGGTTTCACTAGTGGCTTCTCTCAAGAAAAATAGCAAACGGTGGGTAAAAAAATTACTGTTGGGCAATTGATAGAACTTCAAGTAATCATGACGATATCCAGGCAATGATCATTACATAGGTATCACGTCCAAGATTAGTAGACCGACTCCTGCCTGCATCTACTACTATTACTCCACACATCGATCGCTATCCAGCATGCATCTAGTGTATTAAGTTCATCGAGAAACGAAGTAATGCAATAAGAACGATGACATGATGTAGACAAGATCTATCTATGTAGAGATAGACCCCATCGTTTTATCGTTAGTAGCAACGATACATACGTGCCGGTTCCCCTTCTGTCACTGGGATCAAGCACCGTAAGATCAACCCACTATAAAGCACCTCTTCCCATTGCAAGATAAATAGATCAAGTTAACCAAACGAAACCCAAATATCGAAGAAGAAATACGAGGCTATAAACAATCATGCATAAAAGAGATCAAAGAAACTCAAATACTTTCATGGATATAAAAAGATAGATCTGATCATAAACTCAAAGTTCATCCGATCCCAACAAACACATCGCAAAAAGAGTTACATCATATGGATCTCCAAGAGACCATTGTATTGAGAATTCAGCGAGAGAGAGAGAGGAAGCCATCTAGCTACTAACTAAGGACCCGAAGGTCTACAAAGAACTACTCACGCATCATCAGTGAGGCACCAATGAAGGTGATGAACCCCATCTGTGATGGTGTCTAGACTGGATCTGGTGGTTCCGAACTATGCGGTGGCTGGAATTGATTTTCGTCGACTCCCCTAGGGTTTCTGGAATATTGGGGTATTTATAGAGCAAAGAGGCGGTCCGGGGG